ATCTGGGCATGGGATGTGTATTCGGTGCCCTCTTCCATCCAGCCAGCCATCAGCGCGTCACCAGCAGTCCCCTCGTAGGAGGACACGGCAAGGGCATACCCTTCTGCTTCAGACCCTACCTGTATGATATATTCTGCATACACAGCATTTCCATCCCAGTCCTCTAACTCTACGCGAAGGAGAGTGTCGTTCTGAGTCAGCAAGTGTATGTTTTCATTGCCCAGCCAGAACTCTCCTCGCCCTCTGCCATCCACGCTGCCGAAACCTCTCTTGTAGTCTTGCCAGGTCCGGTTAAAATTCACTGATCCATCCATTCTCTGTTGGATCAATAGCCATCCTCCCAAAGTGGTCTCTTGGTCGCAATAAACTGATAAAACCTTATTGGATCCCGCTGGCTTGATTTTGAAAATGCCACTTTTGGTACCAAAAGTGTGTTTCTGGCGGATATCATCACAGTCTAAAAAAAAAAGTTGATCTGGTTTGACAGGAGTTATCAGCAAAATTTAATAAAAGGTTCAGAGGAATCCAAGTACCAATAGCTCTGAGGAAAATTGTTAAACGTGTCTTGGTCTACACTAGGTATAGTGACAGGCAACATTAAAAAGAATTCAGCAAAGAAAACTTCACATACTTCTTAAATGATGAATTGTCTATTTAATAACCAAGTATTAATGAAATATTTTCCTTTTTGTTTCCAATTGGCAACAGACACAGTGCTTGCATTTTATCATCACACTGTTGTACTGCAGTATTTAAAACTAATGTGCCAGTTTGGTTATGGATGGAGTTTGGCTCCACTACCTCAATAACTACTTCCGTGATGCCTGTGTACCTTTCCCAGTGTTGGCTCTCCTTCGCTTCACTCCTGATGGTCTGAAGCTGCGTGCCTGAAAGTCTGGGGTATCCTCTGCACTTTGGTCATGTTGCACCCCACCTAGCTGCTCAGATACTTCACGCGTCTTTAGTGATTTCGTTTCGAAAGTGGAGCCACCCTTGTTGAAACTAGAAGAACTGCTGGTCACTACAGTCTTGGAGTGACTTGCACTGCCAGATGGGAATCCAGATGGCTGAAGTCCTCCAAAGTCATCTTCTTCCTCCTCTGCTAAGTCTCCAAATTTGCCTGTCCCTGAATGACTGGATACTCCAATACCTAAGTGGCTACTGCCTGTGCCAGTTACACGGCTGCTAGTTGAAATGCTGCTAGATCCACCAAACTGCCTACTAGCAGTGGATGGAGAGTCAGGGGTAAAAAATGACTCTAGCTCAGGGAATAACCTCTCTAGCTTGTGGAAGCCTTCTGTCCCACCAACGTGGTACATACTCCCTTCCCCTCCAACATTTCCTGCTCCTTGTAAATAGGAGCAGTCTGAGCCATCAGAAGAAACCATTTTTTCAACTACTTCTTCTCTAGGGCCATCAGGACCAGTGATAAATTTTGTGGTGGTAGTTTTGGTGCATCTATGAACAGTTGAGGAGGTTTTGTCTCCCAGACTAAGGGTTTCTCTCCCATGAATAGGTGTAATTAATTTGCTGGTGTGTGAAGGTCCATCCCCCCTCGATTCTGCCACGTGATACATGCTGTCGCCTCGGGAGGGGTTTGTGTCTGTTTCTGCTCTTTCTAATACTGCTTGCATCTGCCTGATGTTATTAATTATGTTCAGAGCTTGCATTTCTGGGAGAAGCTTTTGCTTAAAATGCTCAGGAACATTCAAGTCCTTAAGTGGCCTCATTTTCAGTGTGCTCAAGGTGGTTGTTTGAAGCTCTGGGTGCAAGTTGATGGAGTTGGCTTGGGTAAGCTGCTTCTGGATGTTGTCATAGCTTTCTTTGTCCACCTGGTAATCAAAACTTCTACCACAGCTTCCTTTGCAAGCTCGTATCTTAATATCAATGTCCACCTACATAAACAGAGAGAAATAATTTGGTTAGGGAGCTTTCCTAACTTTCTCAAGCAAGTGTATCCTTTAACTGGACTGGGGAAAGGTGGGAGCTGCCCTGGTACCTCCCACCTACAGCTGAGCTTTTCCAAAGCTCAGTTTTGAAATCATCCCTGGGTTTATTTCCACTGTAAATACAATAGGTGCAATAGCACAGTGCACGAGCTCCATGGAGAAGTACGTTGTAGTACATTCACAATCTCTGCTCCCTTTATTCTTTGAGGCATAGGTATGTCTTCCTGGGTTTGGAGGGAGTGCTGCAGAGCTGGGCATGCTCCCTGGGGACCGGGGCAGAAACAGATCCTCCAAGGAGAGGGGAAGGCACTGGACTTGTCCCAGAGCCTGTAGTGGCCCTGGCATCCTGATATTACCACGGCTTTTGCAAAGGATCCAAAAGCCAGATCTCTAATCCAGGGATCAAAATGGACTTTTGAGCAAAACCGCTGTTTCTGTCAGTACTTTTCTACGCATTACTGTCAGAATTGGCTGCAACCTGGGAATACAGGCTCTAATGCCAGCACTGGCTGTGGGCAGCGGTGGCAGTACTGGGGAAGGACAGGGCACATCCCTCTCATCCTAGCTGCTCAGCAACTGCTTACAGAAGGAGAAACACCTCATACAAAGCCTGTTATCAGCAGATACAACATCCTTGCTGCCTGTCTGAGAGAAGAAGCGGCAGATGGGACCAGGAGTCCTCCTGAGCTCATGCTGGTTCCCACAGCAGGAAAAGAAAACCAAGCTGCACAGAAAGAAACTCATTTGGGGATTTGCCTCAGCAAGTCATATCCTGTGAGAGTTGCATCACGTTTTCTTCCAGAGGGAGCACTGCTCACCACATACAGTATAATGGATAGACCCTCCTTCCATAGCTAAGCCCTGTAAAGAGTGGAAATTACATAGCAGTTACATACCTCCAAGCGCTTCATCTCCACCACCTGTTCCTGGATGCTGCTCTGCAGAGCTTTAATTCTGTTTAGTTGAGTGACAACTCTCTGCTTTAAAGTCACAATTCTCTGCCTCAGTTCTCCTGACACATGATTGTAAGTCTCATCAACATCTGAAACAGAAATGCCTCACAGTTAATTATGCACATGTGATATTCTTTCCTAAAAATGTAGTGTATTTTAAAATATGTAATTGAAACGTAGTTAAGAACATATTTCTCATAGAACTGAGTAGGTAAAAATTACATTAGTTTTTACTAGTTAGCAGATAAAAGTCTTGTTTATTCTGGCTCTTGATAATAAGGTTCAGTGCAGCATAATTTTCACTACACATTGCTTATGCACAAAACCCAAAAAAAATAAGTTCATCAGTGGATAATGAAACTGGGTGTGAGATACTCACGCTGAGCACTGTCCAGGTCTGGTTTTATGACATTTATGGTTTCCACAATTATCCGATTGGATTTTTTATAGTTGTTTTGATTCTCTAGGAGGAGCTTCTTGATTTTGTCTATTCTGTGACTATAATCCTGGTCTGTTTCATCAATCAGTCCTTGCATTCTGCAGCCTGATGGACATTTTGTACCCTAAAATTGGAAGAGGGAAATAATTGTGTTAAAATCTTCACAAATAAACTTTTTTTTTTTTTTTTAGTATAACATTTGCACTTTTGGCCAACACTGAAAACATATGAAAAAAAAATTAGGGCTAGATTTTGCCAGTTCTCTTCAGATGTCCTGTCCCGTTCATCCAATGACTTTGCCAAGGACTTGTGTGACTTACAGCAAGCCACCTGGGGGCTGATCCTTTACCTCCTACACCTCTGGCACTGGTGTGATGGAATCAGTGAAGCTCATCCTCAGAAACCTGCCATAAGTGGGGGGTGAGGAACAAGTAAACCCTTAATTTTCCCTCTCCTCTATTCCTCAGGGGTGAAATAAGACATATCTATATATTTCCCAAAGGGCTGCTGTAAGGACAATTCTGTTGTCCAGTTTGAGCAAGGATGTTAGAGGCCAACTTGTTTAAGTAAAATATTCCTCAGAAAAGCTTAATGTTCTTACAGACTAAAGCTCTTTGCCAATATTTCATCAAATAAATGTAGCATAGAGATGGGCTGAGATGCAAGAGGCAAAAGAAAGACAAATGAACAGCTTATACTCAAAAACATCCAGTCAATCATTATGAAATATTAGCTAGTGAAGTGTGAGTTATTTC